AACAGAATCCCTTACATGTAACTATTACGTGGTTGCTTTGGGGCATATAGGCTATAAATACGATGTCTATTAAACTTAAAGATGGGCGAATATGCGTCGGTTGCTGATCACATCAATGAATTCAATGTGATTATTAGTCAATTGAGTTCAGTTGAGATTGACTTTGAAGATGAGGTATGTGCTTTAATTCTATTATCCTCATTGTTTGACAGTTAAAATACTACTGTTACTATTGTTAATAATTCCACTGGGTTAACAAGGTTAACATTTGATGGGTCTTGAGATTTGATTCTAAGTGAGAACATCCGTTGAATAGAATCTGGTGAACCTATATCTACTACTTTAGTAGGTGAAAATAAAGGAAGAACTAGTATTCGTGTTAGCAAAGTGCTCTCTGTTGGAACTGTGGCAAGATGGGCTATCTTAGAAGGGATTGCCTTAAGTTGAAAAACAAGAAGGGTAAGGGAATTAGAGTTAAGTCTAATGATGATGTTACAACTGTAGTTGACAGTAAATTGGATAATGCTGATTATCTCGTCTATTACTAATGATTCATCATTTGGCGGATGGATTATGGATTCCGATTGTTCGTTTCATGCTACACCAAATAAGAACTGGTTTACTGCTTATCAATGCATGGATAGTAGTAAAGTACAGTGGAGGAACAATGCTGGGTGTGATGTTGTGGGTGTTGGTGATGTTAGAATCAGATTATATGTTGGTATTATGAGGACATCGACTAGAGTGAGGCATGTTATAGCGTTAAAAAATAACCCGATTTCCTTGAGTGACCCAGATTTAGCTGGGTGTCGATATACTTTAGAAGAAAGAATTCTGAGAATCATTCCAGATGCCTTGGTGATAATGAAAGGAACCAATCATTGTGGCCTATATGAGTTTCAAGGTGAGACAGTGACGAATTACGTTGCCGAGATGTCGAATGTATCTATTTGAGAGTTTGAATTGCGGCATATATGTTTAGGGCACATTAGCGAGAGAAGCATGAAGATTCTGAGTGAAAGTAGTTTGATGAGTGGTTATGTTACTGACGAATTGACTGTATGCAGGTGCTGTGACTTAGGTGAACGACAGAAAATGCAGTTCAATATGACTGTCAGAGAGTCCACGGAGATTGCAGAGTTGATTCACTTGGATGTTCGCATGTTGTTGTAGTTTCCTTCAAGGACAAAAGCTAACAATCCTGGATGATTACTTGAGGAAGACTTGGATGTTTGTGAGATGGCATAAGTTTGTTGCTGTTATTAGGATCATCCACTTGAGAGCTTTGACGAAAATGAGACTGGTAAATTAATCAAGCATGTTTGGATCGATAATAGTATGGAGTTTTGCTTAAAGCTATAAAACGAATTCTACATTAAAGAATGCATAGTGAGACACCACAATAGTTCCAGTGAACCACAATATGTTGCAGAGTTGATTAGTATAATATTATTAGAGACGACTCATAAAATACTCTCTAGTACTGGTATGGTTAGGAGATTCCTAGCAAATGCGCTTAGTACGATGAGCTACTTGATGAATAGATCCCCATCGACTGCGATTGGATGTCGGACTCCTAAAAAAGTGTGGTTAGGTAACGTTGCTGACTATCCATGTTATGTTCGAGTGAGTGATGGTAAGCTCGATAGTTGGGTAAGAAAGTGCTTGTTCTTAGATTATGCACAAGGTGAATGGGGCTATCGGTTGTAGTACCCGGAATTAAATTCATCTATTGTCAATAAAGAAGTTACATTTGACGAGTCTCAAGTACTTCTAGTTATGAGTGATTGTGGCAGTGTTTATACAGATCTGGATGGTGTTCAGCTTGAGATGGAGTTGGAACCAGAAACTCTTGAGGTAACTAGTATTAACGAAGTAATTGACATCGATGGTGCTTATAGCGAAGTGGAGCATGTAGAGCCAACGGTCGCTGTAGGTACGTGTTTGATTTCCTAAGAGGTATGGATGCAACAATGGTTATGATTTATTTATGGTAGAGGAAGTTGTGTCGGAAAATCCCTGTAGTGTAGTTAAAGGTGCAAGTGGAGTTGGTGTGCTAATGTGGTCCATGGTTATTGCGAAGTTCAAGTGTAGCTTGGACATGGAAGACGTTTGTGGTGGTTGAGCCCATGTGGGGCTATGGGAGAGTAACAGTGAAATTTAGATTTCAACAAAGCGATTGTGACTTGGTTCAAACGTTAGGTCAACGTGGAGTTTGTTGAAAATATGTCTCGAGTTTGAGTCCGTAAAGGAAAGTTTCCTAATTCATGTAGGTTTCTTATTTCGAATAGGTTTTCTAGTTGGAGAAGGTTTCTAAAAAGAGGTTTCTTACTTTTGAAAGGAGATGTTTTTTGTGATGTGTATCAAAGAGGCTTCTTCATGAATTACAACCTGAGAGCTTTTAGTGTTGAAGCCAATTAAATCTTGTGGTAAGATTTGTGTAATTTCTTTGTGAGATTAAGAGATTATTTCGTAAGGAATTGTGGGATTAAATACTGTGAGTTATTGAGTGGAATTGGGGGTTGGGAAAGACTTAGAGTGTTTGAGTGACTCGAGTATGGTTGTAATCTCCGTTGTATCGTTTGATTTATAGTGGAATTCGTTTTTACTCTCTCCATGGACGTAAGTCACTATGACCGAACCATGTAAATCTGGTGTTCGATTTTTTTCTTTATTTTATCTATTTTATTATTCGATCACTTAATTTCGCAACACATACAATGTAATCCGACTGCTCCCCACTAGCTTGTATGACATTCAAATCCTCCTCTGATTTCTCCGCTTTCTTTGGTTCTGGATAGTTCCTCGCAATGTGCCCCTCCTTTTGACAATTGTAACATCTAATATGCTTTCTCCTCACTGTAGACTTTGATCTAGACTCGCGTCTGCTTCTAGAGCTCCCCTCCAAGTTCCTGCCTCTTACCATCAAGCCCACCGCGCCACTTCTATTATCATTGCCCTACAACTTCTCCTGTCTTTCTTTGAAGAACAGTGCAGACTTCTCTTCCTTCATGGATATGCTCTCACTCCCTCTCATTAGAGAATCATGAAAGTGCTCATAAGAACTAGGAAAACAAAGCAGCATCATTGCCTTCCATTGATCATATACCTTCTCATCCGCATCCCTTAAGATCATTGATTACTTTATTGAACTGATTCAGGTGATCCTAGATTGACGTTTCCTCAATCATCTTCCATGTGAATAAACATTGGATAAGATTCTTCAAGAGCGATTTCTACATATACGGCGATTTCAAGTTTTGCCCAAATTGCAGTGACACTCGTTTCATCTACCACTTCAACCGAAGCATCTTCTCCTAATTTCAGCAAAAAAATACTCCTAGCCTTTTTTGAAACTATCAGCTTTTCTTCCGCTTTCATACCTTAGGGAAGTTGATCATCTTCCTCCAACGAGAAATGCAAATCCGGTGTCTCCAATAACGCGCGCATCTTAAAGCGCCACGGGTTAAAGTTATTCCTGTTAGTAAATTTCTCCAATTTGAATTTTGTAGAAGCCATAACGATAATTGCAAAATGGAAAAATTTCTAGAATAATTAATCAACAGTTACTTATGCTCTGATACCGGTTTGTTATAATTAACGTGAAAGCTTGAACAAACAATAAGATTCAAGCAAGAAATAAACTGCAGAAACTAAACTTGAACACGAATGATTTACATGGTGCGGCGATGTGCCTATTCCATGGATTGATGAGATGGTTTCGCTATGATTGGTAAAGAGAAGATTAGAATCGCTCAATCACACTTACTCATAAGTGTATCTCAATCCGAGATAATACCCGAACCCACAAGAATCAATAGCAAGAAACGGGATTTTTTCATGCTTTCAATTCACTTGGATGACGGCTCTTAAAAGCTCTCTCACAAGTTGTGCATCTAAACATAAAAAAATAAATTTTAAAACACTTCTAGATCGGGTCTGCGTTGGGGGCCGGGTGTCCGGCGCCTAGACAATCGGGCACTATGTCTTTTCAGCTCTGGATGTTAATATTATTTTTAATGTCGCTTGTCGTACAATAATGTTCTCTTCTATTTTTTTAGTATCAGATTCTTTATTTTTTGTCTCGTGCAACACGTAATAATTATAGAAGGCTTATATGCACATTGTGGCCTCTTGAGAAAATGATAACTGCATGTGGCCGAACACCCGGCCACTTCTAGGCCGGGTGCTTGCCTAGTTGCCGGACTTATCCAGACACCAAGCGGGCGTCTTCTTGCGTTCTCAATTTGTCTGTCCCTGTTTCCGAGTGCCCCGAAAACATCATACTCATATCGATTTTGAATCAAACAGATTAATTTTGAGACGTAATCAACAACTATAATTTGGTATAAATGAAGGCGTCTTCCCTCCCTCGCCTCCTTTCTGTAATTAAAAGTTGATAAAGACTGAACTTCGATGAAAATTTTCATACAGGGGAACTAAAATTAGTGACTGACTATTAACTAGACATGTCAAAATGGGTCATAAACCCATTTCTTAACCCATATATTAGTAAATGGATCATAAATGGGTTAGTTATATTTAGTAAATAGATCATAAATGGGTATATGTATATGGATGTTAAACAGGTCATAAATGGGTTTACAATTTATTTAAACTCAACTCATCTCTCTCGCCCTCACTCAATCTCATGCTTACTCACTCCGCACTCTCATATCAGTTTAGGTATAAGTTTTCTTATATTTAGTTAAATATGGAAGTGTTGTAGCAATATCAACCGAGTCGGGTATGGGTCAAGAAAATTGCATTGCGCATAAATGGGTCATAAACAGGTTAATAGGTCAATTTGGATCGGATCATTTGTGACCCAATCCAACCTACTCATTTAACAGGTCTACTATTAACTCGTTTCACGCGACATGCTTAACACTTGCAAGAAACTATACATGTCCATCAATCATGAGTTTGAACTTTTGCATATAACTACATGATCACACAAAAACGACTACAACCGTGCTATAGCTAAATACTTAGATGAACTATCGCAGAATAAGCTTAGCTATGGCGTGGCCTTGCGTCATCTGGAAGTGATCGGTTAAGCCAAAGTGAGCCATCATGAGCCAGACATGAGTGATGAGCTCTCCTCCTCGCCTGAGCTGCCGAGCATGACAATCTCCTCTGCACTGACTCGCTGCGTAAACTAGCATTTCCACCCAAACCTTGGAAATCATTTCCCACTTTTGAGAAATATCATACTTCTCGTTCAACCCCAAGGCCAGCCTGCACCCATCGAATAAGACGTACTTGCTCCTGCCTCCTTTGACTTTGGCGGGCGGTACTTCGGTGTTCACTTCGAGCAACATCCTGCAGGCTTTTCGGCAAGCTTCATTTTCAACTGATGTTTCTCGGTTTCTCCTGAACAAGTGCGAAATCTTGTTGCAGGTATCTCCGCAGGAGGGGCAATGCCCACGTTTTCTAGGCAATAAGAGTAGCTTTTCTTTAAAAATTTGGTAGCCTCCGCGAAAGTATTGCGAAGCCGGATCTGGCCTATCCCACTGGGCAACATGAAAGGATACATGACCAGGAGATAAAACATGTAACGAGACAACAGCCTACTTTCCGAGAAACCCGGGTAACTTTTGTCTCGGCCATTCGAGTAGTAGCACAATTCTGTTGCAACGTGCCAAATTAAGACGCACTTGTCAATATCTAACTCTGTACTCCAAGTCAGGCCAGGACTGCCATAACCTGTAAGCACGCGTGTAAAAGTGCTTGTGATCGTACTTTAGCTGGTTGTCCTTGTAAAATTTCTGCTGGAGATTTCCATGAATAAAATCCTTCATGATATCTGGTAGTTCTTTGTAATCCGTGTAATGGTACTTCTCTAGCTTCTCATGGACATGGATCAGCTTCAGGAATTTGTGGCAGGGTAGGATTTTCTCCTGGAGGCAAAAACTTAGAAGGCTGAATTGACCCATTGAATTTGACCATCTGGGCTGTATAAACAATTGGAGAGGCTTGACCACCCGTGAGATTGAACTGTCACAGTTGCTCAGCCAAACATTGGTCCGATCTGAGGAAAGTAGCAACAATATGGAATACAACTCTAGGGGAATGACAAGAACAAGCAAGATAAAAGTCAGGGCGAGATCGATGCTGGGGTAGTGAGGCCTTTTACCAAAAGAGAAGTATACCCATACGAAGCATGCCAATACAAAGCATGTTATCGACAAAGTGATGATGCGGCGATATAAGGCCCATCGGGTATATAACACCATGGCCTTTGTGTGAAGCAAATCGTACATGAATCCGAGCTCAATCTCCACTATCTCAAAAACACTTTTGCATAACCTAACCTTGAACACCGATAAACTTGCATCTTTATCGTCATAGCTGAGAATCGGATCCACAAACAGGCGCTTGAATATCTTAAGCAAGCGATGGGCTTGGACCACCTCTTCATAGCCACCGGGTCGGCTTTCGTTGGCCGAGAGATGCTCAAGCACCTGAACCTCAACTATTTCATCGGCTGTCGCGAGGAAACCTTCAGCCTGCTTCAGAGTATATTCCTCCATGAAATGTGGGTAATTGGGGCTAGGATCAGGGGGATCTAGCATGGATTTTTTAAGTTTATCGCTACTTGCTAGCCAAAGGACCCATACCCTCTCCCCGAACTTGATTAGACCGGCCACGATCATCAGGAAGGCTAAACCGGACAGATATGAAAGTGCCCATGCCATGAAGTAGATGTATATTGTCACTGCGGTTTGGACTATTAGTCCCAGCAGGAGACTCAGCCACAGTTCATTGTCTTCCAAGGAATAAGCCGTGATCGTGTCTGGCCCGCCCAGGAGCAAGAGAAGAGCTGGAGCCCAGAAAGCAATGAGCTTGCTGTTCGCATCCAGGGAACCGGATTCTTTATTGAAATCACCAAGCTTGCTTGAGAGTATGCCGACCACGACACCTGCTATCGAGTCTGCTGATATATAGGTGCACCAGACGGCTATCCTGATGGCAAGTTTACGAGTGAACTTGCGGCGACCTCCTAGGATGATGAGTAATACTTACAGGGAAAGGCTCAACAGGACCATCAGCCTAGGGTCCCAGTCATTCCAGAAGTTCCTGAGTTTGGAAACTATTGATCCATCGGTCTTCGTCTGAAAGTATAAGATCAGCATAACAACATGGGCAATGAGCGTGCGTGCTTGGAGAGTAAGGTTGGAAGCAAATTGGCATAAGTTGAACCAAGGTTAGAGAAGCTCTAGTGACTTTTATCTTGGTCGTTCACTTAAAGATTTATTCATTGACTGGGTGGGCAATCTCAAGTTGTGCAAGGCAAGTTGTGATATTCTAACGATATAGTTATAGAATAACATAAACTTAATAATTTCCCACTTCTCAGGAACTAATGCCTTTTTTTTAAAATAAGGAAATGAAAGAAGTGAAGAAGAATATCTACTTGTAGCTCTTCATACGTACAAGGGGCGTTGAAATATGTTCTCTTTCTGTGGGAAAACTTTGAAATGGTCAAAGATGAATCATGAAGACAACATGTTTGGTACGTCCTTTTCCCGAGGCTCTCAATGTGGTCGATGCGGGTAAATGCAGTGGAAGAAGAGTTAGGTGATATTGACTTCAATGGGTCTTCTTCGTCCATACATGCTCCTGTACGTAGCCGATGTAATAATCTTAGATCATTAGTGACGTCTCTCTTCCTTCACCAAAGCACATGCTTCATTGACTTCTTCTGTTCATTAGTTTAATTAGCGAAAAGTGATCCATACCAGACAATTTCTCACTATTCCTTTCAAGCAACCATAAGCCGGTTATTAATAACATAGACCCAGAAAAATTTAGCAGCCTCCATCGTGGAATCACATGGTTCTTTAATATTCAATGGGATAAAGCCATTGTAATATGGCTAGCAAGGATCACACCTAGAGGGTGAATAGGTTATTTAAACAATTCTTGACTAATTTAAAGTGGAAATAAAATATCAAGAACAAAGTTTGAACAACGTTCAAATTTCAAACAGTCTTTGATAATAATTGTGTAAATATGCAATGTAATAAATGAAAGGAGCTTTAAGGGATGAGAAAAATTACATACAAAATATATAGTAGTTCAGCTTAGATCAAGTCTACGTCCGTTCTCCCACGTTGACAGCCTACTAACTGAATTCCACTAGATGATTAATGAAGTGATTACAGATTTTGAGTGATAAGACTCTATGAATGATAAGTCACTCTATCTCACTCAATCACTCTTATAGTGTATCTCTCAAGATCACATATTTTAGCTCATAAAAGACAAGTAATAAAGGTCGGAGTATGCTCAGACTTTGAAATTGTAGATTCTGAATTTCGTCTCTACTATTGCTCCTCGTCATTTGGTCTCATTTTATACTCTTCTATTTCCAATCTAGCCGTTCGACACTCTTCAGAGGATAATCTTCTAATCTTCAAGTTAGATAGATTTGTATAAAGAGGATTGAGTAGCCGTTGAGTGACAAAATCTGAATCCCGCTAAATCTGGTCGCCCGTACAATCAGAATTTTGGTTTCCAAAAGAAGAGCCTCTCCATTTAGAAAGAAACTTGTCTCGAGGTTAATTGTCAATCAATTTAAGATATTTTGTATTATAAATTCCCCTTGTAAAATAACCTTTGATATCGAGTCAATCAAGACTTTTCATTTGCGAAATCTAAGTTAGATTACTAGTCGTTGTGTTTGTTTCGAGTTTGCGTCAAAGTCTGGATATAGTTTAATTCTATATAATTTGATCTTGCATTCAGAACTTATGTCAGGATGTATTGTTCTTTAAAGTCTCAACATTTCGATTTCATTATAAAGTCTGAAGTTTTTCATTTACCTTATAAAGTATGAACTTTATCATTTGCAGTATAAAGTTTGAACTTCTCCTTCTTCTATATATGAAGTCTGAACTTCTTGAAGTAATAAGTTTGCCATCTTCAAATTATAACTTCATGAATCAAAATATTTCAAAGCATTTATCAGACTTACAAAATACTCGTTGACAGTTTTGTCAACTTCAAAATCTATTTAGGAGTTTTTCCTAACACATTGGAGGTTCTTGAACTTTTTCAATTCGTGTTAACGTCGTTTCTAGATTTTCTTTTTTGTGTAATATCGTTTTTGAATTATATATTTCTTTGTTCGTATAAGTTCTTCTGTCAACTTGATTGATGGAAATACCGACAAAGCTGTCAAGTGTCGGCTCTTATTAATGCGACAAGCTGGTAGCACTCATGTTGCTCAAAAAGCTGAACAAAAATCTTGTTTAATAATATTACCACATAAAATTGAAAAAAGAATGACGAATTGCTGCGGGCCAATAGAAGGCGGCAATGCCAGCTCCCAACCACCGACGGATGTGGATTGACCCTTGCCGGGCTAAGGCAATCGCAGCACGCCTGAGAGTGTGTGAGATAGGCACCACGTAGCAGCCATATTGGAGCCAAGTGGCACTTAGTGGCTACATCACCATTTTTGTTGGGTATTTTAACAGAAAGAGAATAAACAAATATATGGTTCAGAAATGATATTGCGCTTCATAGAAATTTGAGAATAATATTGTATAGGGTTAATAACATGAAAAACTCTAAATTGGTACACATATGATAAATTTACCCCAAACTAATTTTTTGATCATGAAAAATCCCAAACTGGTACACCTGTGACAAATTTATCCAAAACTAATTTTTTGACTACCAAAAATCCTAAACTGGTACATTTGTAACAAATTTACCCTCTGTTACATTTAATTAATACCACGAAAAATTACAAATTGGTACGTTTGTAACAAATGGAGGGTAAAACCCCAAACTTGTACAACCATCAATTACCACGTGTCATCAAATTCAGAAATTTGACGGTAAAATTTAACGGAAACTAACGGAGGGTAAAATTGTCACAAGTATACCAATTTGAGGTTTTTGGTAGTCAAAAAAATAGTTTAGGATAAATTTATCAGATCTATACCAATTTGAGATTTTTCGTGGTATTAACCTTTTTTAAAACAACCCACTTTTGACCAAGTCAAAATAAGGACAAATGTTACATTTTCGATATATATACAATAGTGTTAATATCACAAAATCTCAAACTGGTACACAAGTGACAAATTTACCTAAAATTAATTTTTTGACCAACAAAAATTCCAAACTAGTAGACCTGTGATAAATTTACCCTCCGTTAGTTTCCGTTAAATTTTACCGTTAAATTACTAAGTTGGATAACACATGGCAGTTGATGGGTGTACTTGTGACATTCCGAATTTCTGCTCATTTTTGGGATTTATAAAACGTGTATTTCGTCAGTGTGCTTATAGTAAAATCTCACCCGGAACTGATATTCTTGGGTTATTTTTAAATTAGAGATTTCGCTAGAATCGCACTCGATCGAATTTGGCCGTTATTTAGAGCCCGAACTTTGGTGTCGAATTTCTCGAAGTTTCGTGACGAATTTAATTGGATGGTGTCGATATTATTGTGGCCAGCGTCGATATTGCCCGGGATTAGTGAAAAGTGAAATTTGGACCGGGTACGGATTTGGACTAGTAGACCTCCCTCGTAGTGTGTTTTATTTAATATCTTTTGGCCTTTTTCCTAATTTATAATTAGGGTTTTTCATGGACCGTCGGATCGATTTCGGGTTTGAATGTGGAGTATCGGATCGCACTCATTGCATTGACTTTTCCCTCTTCTCTCTCTCTCTCCTCTGCCGCGCCTCTGCCCCATGCATGTCCCCTCCCCCCCTCACGCTCACGTCCTCTCTCTCTCTCTCTCCTCCTTTCTTCTTCTTCTTCTTCTTTCTTTCTTCTTTCTTCTTCCTCCTTTCCTTGGCCGCGGCTTTTGCTCCTTCTCCTTGCTGCTCACCGCCGACCACCAGCTTGCCGTCCGGCCTTGCCCAGCCGCTTGTGAAGCCGCTGAGCCCCCACCCCCCCACCCCCCCGACCGCCGCGTCGCCATCGCCTCCGCAACCCCCTATCCTTCCCCTTCCCCTGTTTTCCTTCGCCCCGACTCACCCCTGTTCCGCCTCGCCTACGCCGCCGCGCTCTGCTGTTCTGGACGCCATTGCCACCACCGGCTCGCCGCCACCACCACCCAGCCTTTTCCCCCTAAGCCGCCGTCGCCCCTGCTGCTCCGGCGACGATGCGACTACCTCTACTTCGCCCCTCTGTTCCGGCCGAGCTCGTCGCCGCCCAGCAGCAGCACGCCGTCGCCTCGCGACCGCCGCTCGTCGAGACCAGTTCGCCAGCCCGCCAGCAGCTCGTCGCCGCCGTCGTCACTGTCGCCGTCACTCATCGTCACCGCCGTGCCGCCCAGCTAGCCGACCAGCTCGCTCGCCGGCCAGCCAGGCCACTCGCCCAGCTCGTCGGCCGCTGCCCGGGCCGTGGCCGAGCACGCCTGGCCACCATCTCGGTCGTGGCCGAGTAGCCCAACCGCTCGCCCAGCCGTCGCCCGTGCGCCCAGGCTGCTGTCCCGGCCGTGGCCGAGAGTCCCGGGAGTGGCCGTGGCCGGCCACTGTGCCCGCTGTGCCCTCGCCCGCGCCGAGCAGCCACTGTTCCCCCGGGCCATTTTGGGCCCCTTACCGATTTTTCCCGGGCCAAACTTAGGTAAGCGACTCCCTAGACCTTACCTAGTACTTTGGGTATTATTAGACTTGTTTATGGGTTAATTAGTATCGGTTTAGTGGCTAAGCTTGGAATAGGATTGATATGTGAATGTGATTAGTTGGCGAATTAAATTGTGGTGATTGTGTGGCTTAATTAGTGGCTGAATTATGTGGGTTCAATGACCGGATTGTTGTGGTGTTTGTAGGTGAAATTGAGGTTTGAAGGTGCCGACTTGAATGTCGGATTGGTGGCTAGTGTGGTGAGTTCGTGATTTGAATTTGATTTGTACGACGTGTTAGAATGGCGAATTGTGTTGTGGTGTATGTGCATGAGGAATGTCCTGAGGCGTGGTTACGCGGGACTAAGCCCGGATTGATCGGAGGGCTGCCAACCTGAGGCGTGGTTACGCGGGTGTGGCTAGAAAGGCAAGAAATGACCTGAGGCGTTGTTACGTGGGTCGAGAGAAATGTCCTGAGGCGTGGTTACGCATGACTGAGCCCGGATTGATCGGAGGGCTAAGCCTGAGGCGTGTTGACGCGGGCTGTGAGAATGGACTTAAGGCGTGTTGACGCGGGTCGTGGATAGTTGCTCGGCCACGCATGCGAAACGTGTTTGGTTGAATTGGGTGATTATACGTGATTATGGTGTTTGAGTGTTTATATTATGATCTTGAGTTATTATTGCATTATTGTGAATTGACTAATATGCAGAGTTGGCACTTGTTTTAAGGCGAGGTAAGTATGTTTGTGTGGATTCGAATGTGTTGGCTGTTAGATCGCATGTTAGACTCGTCTAGGTACGCATTGGCCTAGGTGGGGTATAGGTTGTCTGCTTATTGAGATTTATTCTCATTGCAGTAGTGCAAACCTTTTCAGATCCCCGACCCCGTCCTTGATAATGCCGCTGCCTCAGCGTTTTGGGGTCTCCATGCATACGGTGCATGAGGAGATCGATTATCCGGTAAGTCCAAATCAGACTTACATTAGGCACCTTACTTCAGTTTGGGTAGATGTGGGCTTAGAGGCCTTGCAACGCCATACTTACCTGGCCTGGTTCTATCGTGATGGGTTGGAGCTAGTGGGCCCAATCCGGGGTTTTGAGGGACAACAGCACGGCAACGAGAATGCCGTGGATTGGGAGCCTGAGGACGCGTTTGTTCCTGACGGAGAGGTTCTGGATGCCGAAGATCCCCCGGAGGACCCT